TATAAAGGAAGAATACCATGCAAGTTATCAACCTTCCAAATATGAAATACATTTGTCAATAAATAAAGGCTGTAAAAGTGTAGAAATCTATTTTAGAACTGGTGACCTTGACCCAACTGAACCATAACTCCATCCAAAGGAGAAGACCTCAATTCCATGTTCGTACCAAATATAAAAGACATCTTTCAAAAGAATAATGTTAAAACACCTGTAAAAATGTTAAAATCTATTTTGGCAGTGGTGACCTTGGCCTTTACCCACAGGACCCCCAATTTAACCCAAAGGAAGAGGACCTCCCTTGGCATGTTTGTATTAAACATGAAATACACAATCTTAACAATAGAGGCTTAATGAGCCAAAATGTTTTTAAAAAATCACACCAGTGACCTTGACACTAGAGGCCCCTTACTCCATGAAAATACACGGCCATTAATTGTATCCACCTACCAGATATGGAAGATAGCATTTAATAAATTTTTAAGATAAATCCAACTTACCGGAATAGGTTAACCATACAAGGTCCTATTTTCAAAGTGCAAAAAGGAATATAACTTGGGAAAATGGATGGCAATATCATGAACTTTTTCTAAATAAGTAAGTGTGGAAATGATGAAGCCATAAGTATAGACAGTACTTAAATAAATCCAACTTGCCGGTTTTGGTTAACGATATTCATTCTCAAACTGCTGAAAATGGCAATAAATAGATTAAAATCTATGCAATAATTATGTTACTTGCCATGATCAACTTTTTGTATTGATTAATAAATGTGTAAATTATGAAGCCCTTTGTACAAGTAGATTTTAGGAAATATCCAACTTGCCGTTTATTATTTTGATCGTTCCATTTTTTAAAACATGACACTAATTTTATGCTGCCAGGCTCCTAGACTGCCAGCTTTAGGCTATTAGACTACAAAGTAAAGTGCCCTAAAGCCATAATCATGCATGTGTATGTGCTTTTGCATGACCTTTCATAGTGATTTTACTGTATTTTGAATTGTTTCCATATTTATAATATAAGTCGCTAACTTTAAGCTACTAGGCTGCCGACTCTAAGCTGTTAGATTGCCAACTTCAGGTTGCAAAGCTGACATCGATAGGCTGTTAGGATGTTAGGCGGCCTCCTCAGGATACTAGTCTACCAACGTTAAGTTTACAGGGCGTTAGGCAAACTCTTAAGGTCCAGGTCGTCAGCAATTTAGGCTTCCTCTCCGACAGCGAGACAATTTGCCTCCTCAGTCAACTAGGCCATCAGACTGCCGCCTCAGGCAGCCTGTCTCTTCTGTCACTTTACAGACACAATTGTACTAAACTATTTACAGATCAATGCCAGTTTTGCAGTTTCATACAAATAGTAGACAATTGTATAATTATCAATATGTACTTGTATAAGATCAGCTAAAAATCGAACGCAAAACAATAAACATTTATTTACAAGACCGCCTAAATTATAGCGCAGTTCCATATATAATAAATTCACTCGCTTTCAAATTGAGTAGGCAGATTTAATTAATATGATCCAACAATAAAACTTGAGTTCAACATAAAATTACATCTTGCGACATTTAACGGTAGTGTTGCGACATTTAACGGTAAGGGAAATTCGTGCGACATTTAACGTTAACATTGCGACATTTAACGTCAAATGGTTTTGCGACATTTAGCGGCGGTTGCGACATTTAGCGTCAATGGTGCGACATTTAGCGGCAAGTGCGACATTTAGCGGCGTTGCGACATATAACGGCGCCACACAGTTCATTAAAATTCAAAAAGATTTGAAAAATAGAAATTAAAGTATCTACTGGGCATAATGGGCCTTTAAACACGAATACGGGTTATGCGAATCTAGTAGGAGTATGATGTGTGTGTATCGGAGTTAATGGCTTTGTATTGTATCAGTCTATAGTTTATAAATGTATAAAATAATTTTATCAATAAATAATGGTATATTAAAAACATTTAAATGATTCAAAATACACGGACAAGTTGCCAAGTTGACAACACACTGTCGTATTATAATAATAAAACGTGTATGTCCTGCTCAATAGTTAGTGCAGTTTTGTGCATACATCTTTGTTATTTTTTTATTCAAAACTTTAAAAGCGCGTAAACTATGCTGTCGTTGATTATTAAGGTAATTACGCCGACAATTAAATTGACAAACCTTTTTTTCTATAAAAAGATCAGTTTATAAACTGGAAGCTAATTTCTATTAGCAGGCATACCTTCGAACGCTTTACTGATAATTGGCCATTTTCTGCGATGGGGTGGGAATGGGTGAGCTGTTTGTGGTTACTAGGCAACCTGCCGGAAACCTTAGATCAGCCGTGTCAGCATACGATTTCATTTGTACATGTAGTTCTAATTGACTAACTCTACAGAAAAACTGCGCTTTTATCTTGACTAGTCATTATTCCCTTTCACCAAAAATAAAACTTCTTTTGGTACATGGTCCATTTGTGATGTTCTTACAACGGAATTATTATCGATATGTTTTCAAATTAATATGATATTTATCATTTTACGGCCGGAAATATACAAATTTCGCAAAATTCTTCCAGATTCTCTTTAATTCCCTGATTACGATGCACACTGTATGTTTTAAATGAATATACATTTCATGTTTTATTCTAAAATCCAAATATCTTTAAATTGTATTCCCGTCATAATCATTGTGCATTAAGGTTGGTGAAAAATAGCCAGCCCTTCTATACTTCTGTTTACGTTGATTTAATTTTCCTTTTATAAAACCCATTACCTTGTCAATTTTTTCCCTAATAGTTATAACAAAAATGTGTATTGTATATAGCGAGATTTTGTTTAAGCAAGTTCAATTAAAGTCAGATTTAAATACATTGATCAAATTTCAATTAAATTGAAAGGTTTGTTTTGCTATTTTGCCTAACGATAATAAAATGGTTTAGTAGTTTATATCACGTTGCTGAAACTAGTTTGGAATTTTTCCTAAGATTTTATAACATATTTCCGTCAAATTGCATAAGTAAACGATAATAATATTTAAATAAAGTTATTGGCATTTCAAAAAACAATCTTCATTGAATTTCATGTAATATAAATTGTTAGAGGAACATTATTTTTATTTCATGACTTTAGACGGAATGTGAAAAAATAATACGGGTATGTAATTTTGTTTCTTTCATTTCTTTTATTACTTTATAAGTATTTTATCATTTTTTAGCTTATGCTTATATAAAAGAAAACTAACTTCCATTTAAGTTCCGAATTCATATCTGTATTTTTATTGTCATGGCAACAAGGTTCTTCAAGATTATGTTATTTATTATGTATGTGTTGTCATCCGATGTTATTTCCCGTTCGTGCGTGAAGTAATGCACGGATTGGCATGTGAGGTCTTCCTTATGACCTTTACTGTGACAATGCGACGTAAAAATCAATCAATCAACCAACAACCAACCAAACCAAAAAAAAAAAAAAAAAAAAAAAAAAAAAAAAATTAGAATTAATCATTAATTTTCTTTTGTATTTAATTTGTTGTCTGATAACCTGGCCATACTATTTCGTCTTCACAACGACATACTTTCTGGACCTACTAACAGAAGATGTTCCGTTCATTTTGATGAATTTAGACTGTATCACATTAAGACTTGACAACATATAAAGGATCTAACTTTTTAAGCGAAAAATAATCCATGATTATTAAATTGCACATTTTCTTTTTATATTGTATTGTTTTCTTTACTTTTAATGAAAGAACAGATCAAAACAAATAAAAAGCAACAACAAAAAGATAAACAAAACCAACAAACAAAACAACAGCAACAAACAACAAAAAAAGACGAAAACAACAACAACAACAACAGCAGCAGCAGCAACAACAACAACAAAAAGGCGCAAAATTTTATGACGTCATGAATAGCTTTGCACTTTGTACATTTCTGTTTACTTTTTGCACTTCAATGTGCAAACTTACAGTTATTGCATATGAATTTCACTCGGATTTTAAACAGTGCGATATGACCTATATCTCACTGCTTTATCTTATCTAATTTATATGGCTTCAGTATCTCATTGGGAAGCATGAGATAAATTAATTGAAAACAACAAACATAAATGTCGTAATACAGTATTTTCGATTAATTTGTCTGAATCAAATCCTTTATTTTCCGTTCTCTCGAATTAAAATGAAATATTTTGGTATTATATTAACACCCTATTGTTACTATTAATTAAAAAACCATTTCGTTGAAACACACCCAGTTGGTCTGAGTCTATATCAAAATAACATTTATAAATTACATGTGAAAAGAATATTGTAGATTTATATCCATATTCTAAATTCGCACAATTTAATAGAATTTTGTTCAGTTTGTAAATCAACATTTAATAATGTATTATATGTGAATACCAGCTGTTGTCTAATTAACAATGTGAGATATGGTTCGAGGAGGCATATTTATAATTGTACAGAAACCTTCCCTTATTTTTTTCTCTCATATTTCAATATTAAGCTTCAGACTTTTATACTATTTGATATATTAACCATAATATGTTAAAAACCATGCAGAAAAGAAAAAGAACCAACAACAACAACAGTGATATCTGGCATGACCACCAGCAAAAATATAAACTTAGTAAATGAATGAATGAATGAATGAATGAATGAATGAATGAATGAATGAATGAATGAATGTATGAATGAATGAATAAATAAATAAATAAATAGGTAAAAAATAAATAAATAAATAAACAAATAACTGTATGAATGAATGATTGAATATGAATGAATGAATGAATGAATGAATGAATGAATGAACGAATAAATAAATAAATAAATAAATAAATAAATAAATAAATAAATAAATAAATAAATAAAAAATAAATAAATAAATAAATAAATAAATAAATCAACAGTAACATCTACAGCATAAAGTAGAACATCAAAATATTTCGATGTTAAAAGAAACTGACAAGACTGTAATTGTACTTATATAATAATCTGCTCTTATTATGTTGAAGGTCATATGAAAAAGGTCAAGAACGTTTCCATGGAGATGTCGGGGATGGTTACGTATGGTTGTCATCTGCACGTTGACAGTACGACCCGGTTTTTCCTGTTCACGCTCATCACAGTCGCTTCCATTGGCTTGTTCATTCAGATTATGTATCTATATGGAGACTCGCCTGTAAGTGATATATATATATTCGTATCATTGAATGATATTTTCTATTAAAGTGCACCCTTGTGGTTAAGGTGTTGCCTTAAAGAGTTGAGGCATCATAACTGAAGTCACCGTTTATTCCAGCGTGATCGCAGGAGGCGACTAAATGGATTCGAATTACTAATGTTTATGCATCTCTAAGTTCCAGTAGATACGGTGGTTTTGACCTCAGGTGTTTCTTTAAATTTGTAACACCCGAGGTTTCGTGTTCGCTTAATTGTGCTGGAGCGCCGTTAAACCAAAACCAAAACTATTAAAATGGGTTGGGCTACAGCTTGCACTTCTTCGATATTGATTAAAATAGAAATGTATCATTGGCATGTCCTTATAAAATATTTATTGATAAAAACTGTTTTAAGTAATTTAGTATGATCATTTATATAATGAATGTTTATTTTTCGTTTCGGAACAATTTATTATCCGCTATATATATAATACAGTATCATATATTTCACATTTACCAACATCATCCATATATAAGTATGTTGTGGTACATTGTCACGTATGATAATAAATACATTCAAAGTAATTATTTACGGTATTACAGACATTACATTATAGACTAATTCACTTAAATTTTCAGATAAAGCATTTTTATTTCTAATTTTTTTCGACACGTTTAAGATTAGTTTCTTACGTTTCAGATCTCCTTAACTCGGTTCCATAAGATAGAATGCACGTTTATCAAAACCTAGCAAATTTTTGCACATTGTACACGAATATCGTGCTTATTTGTCATGGATCGGTACTAACATTTACCAAGTGGCCTGATCTCTGTTTTGACAATAAAGTCGATGAAAAAATGAATAATAAAGTCAATAAATAGGAAGAATAATAAAGTCGAAGAATAGTTACAGAAAAAAAAGATCCATAAATATTTATTGAATACGTTTTGTTTTTGAAAATAATCATAATAATAATTATAGAAATAATCATAATCATTATGATAAATCTACAGAATAATTTCGTAATATTGGATTTATTTACCACAACTAATTTTTGCAAATGAAAAATGAGTTTATGAAAAAAAAAAGTTCGTGTAGTTACGAAAACTTAAACCTTTATTGAATTTCATAACTGCTCGAACAATTCCTTTAATAAAGTAAAACAATAAGTATACGAAAATTGATCAAAAAGTTCTTGTCCCGATGTACCTCTGGTAGTCAGAGAACCCAACTAATTTTCTTACTTTTTAATATAATCGTCCTCTACATCAATGCACTTTGCCCACCTTGTTCCAACTTGTTTAACCCTTCAAAATAGAACTCTCTTTTGGTCCTCAAAGAACTTATTGACCGCCTCCATGACATATTCATTGCTTCCAAAACGTCCATCACGAAGCTTGGTTTTCATAAACAGGCGGAGGTCAGAAAAGGTCATGTCCGGGGAATATTGGGGATGGGGAGGAATTCCAAAGCCGCAGTCAGTTGCAGCAGCCATCGCAACTTGGGATGTGTGAGCTGGCGCATTGTCGTGCAGGAGCAGAAGGTCTGGGATCAGTTTGCCCCTCCTTTTACGCGCGATTTCTTGGCGCAGACGTCACTATATTCGTCTGCTTAGTATGTAGCGCTTACGGTAGGCCTTGCTCAAGATAGTCAATTATGATTAACCTCTGACTATCCCAAAAAATTGAAGACATCATCTTCCTTGCTGATGGCACCCTCTTGAAAAGTGGTACTTCCACTGCATGTTCTGTTTGTTTAGACATCAGTCAGAATTGCCTGAACTGAACCAAAGCTTATACCAACCTCCCTAGCAATGCTTCGAAGGCCTCGCCTTCTGTCGCACATGAACTTATCATGCACAGCTTCGGCAGTTTAATCGTCGGTGGCTTCTTTTTACTGCCCAGGCCGCTCATCATAATTGCCAATGTTCTTCCTGCCCCATTAAATTAAGCTGCTTATTTTTACATGGTGCTATAGGAAGGGGACTCCTTCCCAAATGTATCCATGAAGTCTTCATGGATTTCATTAGGGGACACCCCTTTCTTACAAAGGTACTTCATGACGGGTCTGATCTCAGTTTTCTCCATTTGGTCTAAATGACACATCCCTCTACTGATCACAATGTGTTTTTATGTTACCGAATGAATGTAAAACCGCGTGTAACTCGGTCAGAAATCTTCAATAAGATATCAGTGTCGACTATTGTGTGTAAATGTCAGTGTAGTGGCTTGGTGCGATCATGATGTGTATGTCGATTGTTATTCGATATGATGAGATGCTTCAACACAAATCGATTCTATTTATTACCTTTACCTTCTTCTTCTGAGCATTTAAGCCAAGATGGCTTGTAAGCTCCTCCTGTACAGTATTATCAAGGTAATTTCAGTAAATGTCCCTTGTATTAAATCTTTTACTTTGCCAGCTCCGGTCGAATCAAGTTTGAAATGTCAAAACACTTTCACTGAGAACAATGTTTTCATCTTAATTATTCCACTGGTCGATGCATCTTATAGGAAATGAATTTTTCCTTGCTTGGTTTAAATAGCTGGAATATATGTCCACGTGTACAGTTATCATTGAACACAAAAAATTTATCCGGGTCAACATTATCAAACCCATAAATCATTCAATAGATTTGAATGAGGTCAAGTCGTTGTCTACGATATAAAAGTGTTGGTAAATTAAGTCTTTCAAGTCTATGTTCGTAGGATAAACCTTTCAATCTATAAAGATTAAAGCTCTTTTTTTTTGGGAGGGGGGGGGGGGTGGGGAGGGGGGCACTTTTATAACTTTTGGCATATTATTTTATGTATACACGAATTTTTATCAAAAAGACATACATGTACATGTACTGCTTTTTATAGACGAATGGGCACTGTCTTGCATTGACAAAAAACGTCAAGCATATCGAGTAAAGGTTAGACAAAATAGCAGTTTATTTATTTTAAGATCTTGGAACTCATTTTTTATGGTTTTTATATCATAAACATGATGGTCTTATGAAGATCTTATCAATATTGTAAGTTCCCAAAAGTATTATTTGTAAATTTACATTACAAGTTAATAAAGGGAAATAATCTAGTCTTGGATGTTTGGAAATTGTTTTTATAATATGCATGCATATTTACGTATATTAAATTTCAATGTTGTTACATCCTGAATTACAGGATATGTGAATGAAATATTATTTTATTTTCTTTTGCTACAAATAACTTGTGTTTGGTATAATTAAGTTCTCTTTTATTTAGGGCATGAAAGCGGCACTTCCTGCAGAATATTCACTGGCTGGGAGAAGAATCATGTACGGCCGTTTGTTCAACAATGTCGATGTGTCACAAATCAAGTTATCAAATCCAAAACCAATTAGAGAGAAAGCGAAATTCATCCCATATCAGGCATTCGGAAGAGAGACAACTTTTGTGCGATCGAACGAAACAGTTAACAACAGGTCTTACGTCATCATTAACGAATTTAAACCAAAAACTAGTGGACAGAAATATTACTTATACAGACATCCAACAAAAATATCGGGCAACTTTAACGGAAATATTACACGGCACGTGAATAATCCTGGCGCATTTTCCGTTGCTTCGGATAGGAATATCTATATAATGTCCGTATTTGGGAGGTTTATTAACCGGAAGACGGGAGAAAGATCTCAGTCCAAACAACCGGATCCCGACAAGGAAAATCTTCTCATTGTTTTGGTTGGATGGCTGAAGTATGATTTGTTTAACTCGTCCTTGCAGTGCTGCTTGTTGCTTGCAAATGACAGCATTGTTTGTACACCCAATGCCAAACGATTAATCTGGACGCAGGTGAATAAACAGCCGCTGATGGCGGTAAAGTTTTTCTGCCCGGTTCCGAAAGAACTGAAATATTCGCACGTGAAAGGAGCCACGATGTCGCTTGTGACGGAAAACTGTCTCAACAAAAAATTTGCAGCGGTTGAATATGTCAAACGACAGGCTCAAGATTCGATTGCAGTGTGCGCTAAAATCGTGTATGGTACTATGTCGGCACAGCGGTTGATAGAATGGTTTGAAATTCAAAGGTTCATCGGTGTGGACAAAGTTTTAATGTATTTTTATAACGTCAACGCAGAGACTGTGAATGTTTTACAGCAATACTCACAAGAAGGATTCGTTGACTTACGGCCATTTGACTTCCCAGAAGCAGGTAAGAAAAACCAAATTATCTATTTCAAAGAACTCCCCTGAGGTCAAAAGGCCTAAAAACATTAAATATGAAAATGTTGCTACTCGATTTTGTGCGATTCATTGCCGGATTTGAGTGAAAGTGTTGCACCGCCTTTTATTTTTGGGTAATTTTACGCGAGAAAAATGATTATTCTGTACAAATAGGGTGAGACCTTAATATTTGCACACAATTTACTGGTTTAGACCTTCATCTTACACAAATCTAGGACCAATCATGTCTAAAAAATCTCGGTGATGTTCCTTTAAAGTATAACACAATATTTAAAGCGATTCTTTTAATACATTTTTATTATATTTTTAGATGTAATTTAGTAGTGAAAAATGTACTTGTTACCATAAAACTGTCTATTTCTGACGATAACATTGCCTGTACTTTACAAGGCAACACAGAAGACGATAGTATAATCTTAATCGTGCACTCTACACTTGCGTAAAATCTATTTGAGATATTTTAAAAATCGTGGTATAAATGTATGTATTGAGCTAAATAATCTGTTTAGTATTATAGCGAATAGTGTCAGCTTTACAGCAAATAGTTACATACCATTTCTTGGATACTTATCAACACTATGCGTAAAAGTTTGAAAAAAGTCGCGAAATAACAGCTCATCTTTAAACCGCATCAGAGGACCGATGGGCATAAATATATACTAGATATGATGTTTTAAAGGCTCTTCAATATATAATAAACACATTTAGAAGTAGCGTGTAGTGACAGTCACTATACTAGTTTAAATTTATGAAATAACATGTCCAATACAAAATTAACTTACTTTGGGTAAAGAAAACAACAAAAACTTAAAATTGATTTATATATTTTTTCACAGACACGAATTACCGCTATGTTGGTCAAAAGGACGCTCAGCCGTTTATTGATGAACAGGTCGTGCTGTACGAGGCTATGGAACGGTTACAAGGTTACACGTTTACGGCCGTTATTGACGTCGATGAGGTCATTTACGCTAGAACCAGTCATAAACATAATCTGAAACGATTTATTGTAAGTTGTATGCATAGTAATGCTTAAAGGACCATCGTGTCTCAGAAATGCTGTCATTTTTATTTCTCAAGCACCTCCTCGCTTTTGAGGGATATCCTGTAACAGTTTCAAAATAAAAATCATTTACCACATAGATGAACCATCTTTTGCTTCATTTGCTCGGTTGCAATTGGTATACGCATAGTGAATGAATATTTTGTATGTAAGTCTTGTATGAATGTGTGACTGTAATTTGTAGGGATCTGAGGTCTGTGATGATGATCTTTTTCTCATATACATGTGTATATTCAAATATAAAATTATTGTATGTGCTCTGAAGATGTACGTGTGTCTTTTTTTTCACACAGAGTGAAGCCGAATTTTCAACCATTGTAAAACGGTATTTTTTGTAGAAACTAGTACATGTAGTTTTTTTCACCTGCTTAACATCTTTATTAAAGATTACAGCCTTTACAGTAAAGCAACATCAAAAACAATGGCCAGTTAATATGTTAGGTAGTAGCCAATGTCAGGATCGTTACAGACCCTAGATCTATGACAGACACATTTAATTCTCCCTCCACCAGTAAACATGGAGAGTCGCTACATACTGTTTTGTAAATTTCGTAAATGCGCACACATTGATGTCAGATAGACTGTTTAGCACATCATTCTGAATCACGATTCGTGATAAATTTTAGCTTCTTGAAAATGAAAAAAATATATACAACAACCTTGAGAATTATCCCGCATTGACGACATTTCTTCTTGATGTTTTCTCAAATAATGTTTGTCATTATTGATGCAAAATAAAACTTATAGGCTTTTGTTGATAATGTATTTTATTCATTTACAGTTACAGTTATATCGTCGATGTCCAGAAGCCGCCGGGTTTAGCTTTAAAACCGAGTTATTTATAACTGACTGGGAAAACAAAGAGGACAAAGGGCCGGAAATGAATATGTTTTATCACACGAAATACCAGAATAGAACCCGTCCCCTTGAAGACCGGACAAAAAATATTCTCGTGATGGACAGAATTATCCTTGGCTCTGTGTGGACACACAATTATACGTCACTTCCGCAATATAAAAAGTAAAGTTTTTTTTGATCATATTCCCATCAAAATTAAAACAGGTTTTGTTTTATGTAATAAAGAATTGTGGTCATGGATATGCATACAACTGTCTCAGTGTTTAGATTGCATATTAGATTTTAAATGAATGATTCAGTTATGCATATGAAATTAATGAGCTAACTTATTTTTTTCGGCCATAAACTGTTTGTTTTTATCTCGACTTCCGGTTAAAATTTGTACTATAAGCCATCAATTCTTTTATTGGATGGAATTTTAAAAACTTTTTTAAAAAGGGCCTATCAGATATAAATCAACATTGGGTCTTAAAGCAGCATGCCTCCAGATTCATACTATTTTTCATGAAAAATGTAAAAATGTATTCAAAAGTAAAATATTGTGCAGTGAACAAAGAAAGTAATTTATACATTGCAAACGGCACTTACAATCCATGTAAATTACCAAAAAGAGGTCAAATTATACATAAATACCTCTTACTGCTTTAGTAACGCAGTAGAATTATAGTGATTGATACGGCAAAAATCAGTCATCAATCGCACATAACATGTAAATAATTAATTAGATATTGAATCTTTTTACTTTTCTTAAGATCATAATACATTTTCTAAAGATTAATTTTCTTGAAATATTTTGGCTCATCTGGAGGCGTGCAGCGTGCAGTAATTGAAAGAGACCGTCAAGTTTCCTAATGAAATCAAGTCCACAATTAATAATTCGCACTTAAATGATATTTTTATATATTTTTCAGATTTCAAGTACCAGCATCAATGGGTACCTTAAAACATTACAGACCGTGTCGCAAAAATTGGCATTGCTTCCTTCGGCGCGGCTATAGGGATCAAACTATTGCCGGACTAATGGGAAACATTAAACGAAATGTTTCAAACAAATTCAACAAATTGTTAGACAAATCTACGCTTAATGCGATTAAAGAAAATGCAACTAATGGCTCAAATTATCAAGGTGGTAGCGTGCAATCTCGTCCGGTTCATAAAACGAACAATACTATTTTTAGCAACAAGAAAATCTCGTGATGACGATGGTAATAACTGTGTGACAAATGATTTTGCTCCAACTACTACGTTATGCATATTGACAATTTTGCGACAAATAAGTGCGCTCTTACTATACGTTTTGATCAAGTTATATGGTATCGAAAACGGTTAGGGTTTTATGGGAAAAGACATATGAGTGTGATATGGAATAAATGAAGATAATGTAATTCAAATGTCCCCAACGGTCTTTCGTATATATTTGCTAATTACTGTATTCTAGAGCCGTTTGCCAGTCATTTTTACGCAGTTAAAATGATTAGAGAACAATTATCACATAATATTATACAAAAATGTGCGAAGGGAGACAATTCAATTTTTACATTTGATTGAGAAACAATTTTTCCAAGATTGTTACTTTAAGATACGGTCATAAAAAACAATGTTATTAATGCAGGGAGATATTAATATTAGATATTCTTGTGTGGCAAGCTTCAGAATGGTGTGATAAAGATACAAGTTTTGATAGTAATATTGAATGTATTAAAGAGATTATGAGTGTTGCTTTATTACTTGAACATACACTGAAATACATTGCTCCGAGGTTTGACAAGTGTTTCTTTGTGTTTTTATAGCTAATGTGTTTGAAATAAACTTGAGGAAAAAACAAACAAAACGGAACTATACATTGATTACCTTACTTATGCCTGTCACGCGCCGATTTTATTGTATTTCTTTTCTTAATGATGATTAGACAATGGTTTACAAGTTTTCTTAAAAATGCAATTCGGATAGGTGTGTCCGAGGCAGAGTTGTTAATGTTTAAGATATACTCTGCTTAAATTTGATATTAGAAAATATTGACAATTGCTACACTTTACCTTTGTAAATTAATATAAACATGTTTTGACTTCACACGAAGCAGATATGTTATGTTTAAAATTGTACACACCTTGGGTGGTCACAATTAGTGTCATTAAAAGGAAACTCAGGCAATGACAACAATATTAAAGTGATTAAAGTGTACTCAAACCACTGTAAAATGACATTTTTGTAAAGTCCCAGCATGAATTTCTGTTAAATAATATTTATATTTTCGGTTTGAAGCGTAAATTTATTTATATAAGTTGAACGGAATTTAGACGCCGTAGTTTAAAAAACAAGTCATGTGACCTCAACAAACCCTAGAAGTTACAATAACATATATTGTGGATATTGTGTGATTATTTAAACAAGTCAATGTCATTCATTCGACATGTTCTTAAACGTTTCCAGAGTTCACTGTGACATCTAAACGCTCTAACCTGACCAGTTAGGAAACTATCGTTTTATTCGTTATAAAGAGAAAAAGTTTTGTTTCTGTGACATAGACAGTAAGAATTCAATACATTTAAGATTTCACTAAATTTCTATGATTAAAAATTTTTACTAAAGGTTGAGCATAGCATATCTTTTACTGACTTAAAAATGATTTGCCCCGAATTGCCGTGAATTCGAAAACCACCAGGGGCTTTTGACTCGAGAAGCTATCCAGCTGGCTTACAGAATGTCGATGGTTCTCTGCATGTGCCATATTTTGTCTGGAATAATGCACAAAGGGGCACCTGAGGTTCTTATGTAGAGTGTAAGTATTAAGTATATTATGTAAAATTAAACCACAAAAGGCAGTCATTACCTAGAACATCTAGAACTACAGTTTATTTTATGTTTTGAAATTGTACTAAAAGCTTAGCGAGTAAAAATGAATGCATACGAGTTCTCAGTTTATATATATAAGAAATTTTTTAAAATAAAGGAAAATTAAGGAATATAATATTGCAATTGATTATCTTCATAACGTCTCACACGCCTAATGTCAAACAGTAATGTAAACACGTCTAAAGATACACCAGGTCCTTTCAAAGGGTATTTAAAGTAATCGGTACAAACGGCAACACAAAAATATATTACAAGATGATGATTTATTTGTGTTTTGTTTCATTCTAGAGCTGCACTCTGAAGTTCTAAATAAAGCCTCCTTTCTAATTTCTGAATATATTATTATATAACACGTACCTTCGGCAATTTAAACCTCAAAAGCAAATCTTATTATTGAAATGAAACAATGTATTCTAAATATTCCAAAGCAACAGTATATTGCTGTAAACTGTGCTCTGGTTTTTACGCAACGACGCAGTTCTGATATTAAACTGATACATTTTCAATAGGAAGGTCCCCAAACTATGAAACAACATTATAATAAACACAGTTTTAGTCAGTTTACTTATTGCCGGAAAAAGTACTTCAGTTTCACGGATAGCGTCCTTGAGGAGATGTATTTATTTATTTAAGTCTCAATAACATATACATGTATGTATATATCAATCACTATAAAATACAGGATAAAACAAATGGCATACATAATATATGAAACCAATCAAATATTTGATGTACGACAATATCAAACCCACAGAGAGCATGTGATAATAAGGATTTACTTTAGAGAAAATTTCGTGACAAAACTATTATTAAGTTATAAAGTGCATGTACGATTGCGGACCTGTAGTACAACTGTTTTGCCATTAGCATAATAACCGGTATGTTATGAGTAGTTATTTACAATTACATAACATTGACATTCAAGAAACAATATCGTTACAATATTGAATCACGCAATAGAATGAAAATCGAAACACGTGACAAGTGTTTTCATATTCTTTCTATTTTGTATCGTAGGCAAAAAAAAACAAAAAACAAAAAACCGTTCTCTGTAGTCACAATATGAATCCCCAGAGTAAATGAAACCAATGTACGGGCATCTAAATATGATTTTTCTTTCAATCGTAACACTTAGTAAAACCCAGAAACAATATAACAAATAATCGAGCATGCTATATGTTTATCCCCGACAGACAGTGCGGTGTTTAATTGCCAGTCGACGCACTGTGCATTTTTATTGGTAAATGGTTTTACTCTTACAATTTTTTTTATAGAAAGGCCTCCAAACTATGATACAATGTTTTATACCATAATTTTATTCAATACAGATAATAATAATAAGATATGTTGTGTTTGACCTTTGACCTGCTGATTTTCTCGTAAAGGTACGAATAACTGTTCGTTATCAATATTAGGAAACGTAAGCTGAAAAAAAATTGAAATTGGTCAGCCGACAATATCACGGATGCCAAGGTTGGCCTGTCTACTTATATACAGTTGGAACAGTTGCAACGTCGTGAATGTTATTTTGTTTATATTTGAATTTACACCCGTGTAGTCTATAGCCTGAAAAAGCCAAAGCCTGTATTAAGAAAGCATTATTCTTTAAGAAAAAGAAAAAAACACAAAACAACAATACAACAACAACAACAGTATACACATTATTATATAAATCACTTTTAAGGATCTGACAAAACGATCGTTAGGGGGCCGAGTGGTTAAGGTCGCTGACTTGAGATCACTGGTCCCTCACCGCTGTAGGTTCGATCCTCACTTGGGTCGAAATCTTTCATGTGAGGAAGCCATCCAGCTGGCTTACGGCAGGCCGGTGGTTCTACCCGGGTGCCCGCTCGAGCCTGAAATAATGCCCGGAGGGGCACCTGGGGTCTTCCTCCACCAATAAAAGCTGGAAAAAAATCGACGAAAAAATCTCTGAATTATCATAATAGTGTACAAATTTTAATCACAACATATATACTTTGTGAAAAGCCAAAATCATGTTTATTTTACATAGAGACTTTGTAGCAATAATCAATATTTTCTAATATCAAATTTGAGCACAGTATATCTTTAAGTATTTTGTATAAAAGTCTAAATACCACATTATTCACATTTTTTTACCCTTGTAACGAACTAATTCACATAAGCCACTATTTTCCGTAAGCATTTCAAATGTTATATCTCCACTATTATAACAATCATTATGAATCACGAGTTTGTCCTTCCTACAGAAAATACAATTTATTCACTTCCGAGGCTTCATTTGCTATTAAGCTATATTTACAAATCTAAAGCAATCACTTTCAGCTAATGTTTTAAAGATGCAACTTTATATCTAGATAGTTAAATGTAAAGCCAAATTTAAGAGAAAAAGTGTTTTCATCTAAATCGTGTAGGTAATTGTTATTCATGCCATTATCCAACGACGCAATTTAGTGGCAAATGTCTCAAAACTACAATAAAATATTTATAACTTGATATTAATATCAACAGAGTCGTGTGTATGTTATATTCACGTTTATATCTTGGTTAAAAATCGTCCGGACCCACGGTGCACATTGAGTACATACTGAAAAATAGCCCGGGCACCGAGGATTATCTAAGCTACAGCTCAGTACAGTGTATGCAGAACAGATACTAGATCAGAAACGAAGGAAATGTTAATTCCTTCAAAATTCACATACAGTTTTAAATACCAGTTTTCTGACAAAATGTATCAAGTATTAGTGATATATGAACTTTGGGGGGATTAACATTTTCATCGTTTCTGCTGTGGACAAAATATTTAAAAAGGTTTCTGGTGAATGGTCTTTCAAGAAAAGGTTCTTATTTTATGAACGCTTATTATTTATAATAAATATTACATACTTACGTTATAAAATGATGAATTTATATCTCCAACTGTATATAACTAAGAAATATGACAATATGCGGCTAACCTGTAGGGCAATAAATTATAAATATTCTCTCAAATAGCTGAAATAATATTCAAGAAATAGAGGCATTTAAGTTTTAGGCATCATAAATTAATTTGTCTGATACCAGAAAGTAGCAAGAAATCCTTAGAAACCATATGGTACTGGTATTAAATTAGTTAAAGTACGTGTAAAACTTATTTTAAACATTTCTAAAGCAGGTGTGTTCTATCGAATAGAATAATAAATTAAATAGATATATTTTTATCTTTCGGTATAACATATTATTAAACAACAGTTTCAAATTGATCATAATACTTAAAGTACAGTAACACGTTTCGTGAAGGACATTCTTTGTTGTTTTCAAGATTTTTTCCCGAACCTATGCGCCAACTTCATTTGTCTTTCACTGAGGCACATTTATACACGTAAACTTATGTTCATTACACATCTATAAGTTTCACAAATATATGACTATTGACTTTACACAATGTGTTACTAAGGTCATGGATTTTTAACGCCAGAATAATTACTGAAACAAGATAATGACCCCTTGTTAATATAACAAAGTATCGTAACTACTAGAAAGTATCATGATCATATCTACCTCAAAGTATCAATATACTAATAACTTACCTTCTTACTGAAAGACGCACCAATGATGACAGCAAGCTCCCTGTAAATGTTATGTTAAATTGTATTAATCTTTGAACCCGTTAACCTTTGACGATTATTTCGTTAGTGTGCCCGTTCCGTTTCTTCGCATCGGCGAACTGTGATTCATTGCGTCGAAGCGAATAAACGATACACCGAAGCGCTGAAGTGACGAGACGATACGAAAACGCTTAAAAGAATTAGTGTACAACATCATTTATCGACCAATGAAATCGCTTCAATTTCAAAAAAAATGCCCTCCTTCATTGTGTAGAGGGGCAAATTT